CTTGCCCTAGAGTTAGCACGATTTCGAGCCTCAAAACTCAGCTTCTCTCCAGTGCAAACATCTGATATGAAGCAGCTGCATTCTTTGCATGATGATGTATCCGTGCCAACGTTTTTGCGTTTTTTGTAGAACTGATCTTGAGGCTGTGGAGCAACAAACCAAATAAAGTTGTGATTGCAATAGAAAAACAGTGGTTTTGGTGAAATGACGTCTGCGTGGCCAAAATAAACGCTCAACGCTGTTGACTTTTTCTAGCCAAATACAAAGTCTTGTGAACTTCCACATACTATTAGGTTGAATCGAAAGTTCTATGTTTCATTATCAAGAATTTACTTCGCGAGATCTCAACGGATTTGCTTACCTGTAATTTTCTCAGAAAGAATAAGTCTTCCGCTTTCAATCGCTGTTTTGTGGAGCTTCTGTTTCACACTGAGTTCAGAGATAAAAATGGAAAACTAAGACCATGTAAACTTTGACCATTTTTAGTTAGGTCACCAAAAATCTGGAATGCTGCAGAAAAATCTGAAATCGTCAGTACATATGTTTTTTGGCCTACTCTTTGCAACTGTGAAGAGTTTGTGGTGTTTGGACGTCTCTGTGAGAAGTTATGGTTTTCGCGAAAATCGAAAATTAATAATTAATTTTGGCGTTTTCCATAGTAAACTCGATATTCATAACTTCTCACAGAGACGTCTAAACAGCACAAACTTTTCACAATTGCAAAGAGTAGGCCAAAAAGCGTAATTAATGACAATTTCAGATTTTTCTGCAGCATTCCAGATTTTTGGTGACCTAACTTAAAATGGCCAAAGTTTACATGGTCTTAGTTTTCTATTTTTATCCCGCATCCAGTATGAAACAGAAGCTCCACGGACAGCATTTAAAAGCGAAGGACTTATTCTTTCTAATAAAATTACAAGCAAGCAAAACCGTTGAGATCTCTCGAAGTTACTATTTTTTGAAAATGAAACGACAGAACTTTCGGTTCAACCTAATATTTGCTTACTTCATTGTAGATTTTCGAAGCTGAGTTTTGAGGCTCGAAATTGTGCTAACTCTAAGGTAAGGTTGGAACTTGATTGAAAAGCGGCACGAAAACGCATAGATTTTCCAAGCGCCAAACAAAATATCTATCGAAAGAGCTTTATCTCATAGCCTTGGTACAAGTTAATTAAAGCGCGTAAACCACAGAAGAACGTATGTTTTTGGAGCAATCACTTCAAAAGCATTTAGAGCCATCTGAAAAAAGTAGAGATCCTCTTTTTGAACTGCACTGGGTTCAGTGTGTAATAGATATGTCAGACTTTGTTACTGTAACTCTTCAAAAAATTTGGACTCAAACGATTGCAATCTTGAATGAAAAATGGACCTTTGTTTGAGGTGTTTCGTATAATTATAACCGCTAAAATTACATTAGGCGCAAAAACGCTCCTAAGATTGACATATTTCCATTCTCGTGGATCATATAACGTTTTCGGCTGTGTTCTATCACGTGGTACCTAGGGCTTCTTGCGTTCCTTCCAAAAAGTCCAAGAACTTTCAAAATTTGGGGTGCTCGTATAATTATGAACCGCACTTTGAAAGCAGAGCCCTTCTATAAGAAAAAATTTGAGAGGCTCCGCGAAACCTGGCTCTCTACATTATGGCGGTAACCAGGATTTCTTTGATTCTGGTGGAGTTTAGTGTGCGGTATTGTACATCGAGATGTAACCTCTTCCATTTGACAGCACTCTTTCCAGCCCCCGTCCCCTACCCTCTTCAAAAAAACGGGGATGCTATGTAATAGCTTGCAATTTTCTACAAATACGAACAACTCGTTTATTGGTTTATAGAAAAGGTTTCCGATGCGTAGATTATTTGAAGTGCTGTGACTCGGTTACAATAATCTTTCTAATGAAAATGAAAGTTTACAGTAATGCGCTTCCCTGATGATAAATAGTAGTTGTAACGCACCTCCAAAAAATCTTGCGATCGGAAAATGCATCTTTGAGAACATCTTTGGGGCCTAAAGAGAGACAATTTCAATACTACGTAGATAGGGTACTTATAATTAAAAAACTCTTTTTTACCTGTTCCAGTTGTTGAAATCCGTTCCTTCTGCGCAAATACAAATACAGGGTGTCCCAAAAAAATGTGCACACTCTTTGATTGTAAATAACTCTCTCGTAATGAAGTGTTTCGAGAAGGATACCATTTTGTAGAGCGAGGTTAAACTTAGATTTACAGTGTAGAGCGAATCGCAGATCGCTCATTCTTGCCGTAGGATTGCGATAGAAACTTCAAACATATGGTGTCACTGTGAAAAAAGTGGCCGTTTCAAAAATTTTCAAAAAAGTGTGGAAATTTGTGTAATAGGGTTTTTATAGACCCTGAGTTCAATATCCAACTCTTTACAAGGTTGAGAAGCTTTCTAAACGGTGTAACCGCACTTTTTAGGAACACTTAAAAAACGTCTGCTACTGCTTACATACCGTGAAAATAATACGGAAAAAAGTCCATAACTTTATTCAGAGAGTCGCACAGCAGATAATGAACACAGATTTAAAATCAGCGTTTTAAGGCGCATCTACTGGCATACATCCCATTGCAAAAGGCCACGGTCACCAAGTATCCTTTCCTTGTAAGTTGAACCTCGCTCTACAAAATGGTACCTAAAGCTTCTCGAAACACTTCATCGAAAGAGAGTTATTTACAATCAAACAGTGTGCACATTTTTTGGGACACCCTGTATGTAAGAGTGCCAGGTTTTGGCTTTGACAGGAAAAATTCCTCTCATATATAAAAAAAGTGAAGCTAAAGGGAAGTTGAACTTGAAGTAGAGAATCCACTTTCTTTGAAATTTCGAAAAAACTACATTTCCTGGTTTTGTAAAAAATTCCAGTGAAGGAGCAGAAAGGAATTTTAAGCAGGCTGAAGCGTAGCGGTTCCTTAAATCCTGCAAGCTTTCCCTTTTTTCATGCGTCCCTCGCATCGAAGTATCAACATAGAGATGACATTGTATCTGAAACCTGGATACCTGTCTCTTTGCTAAAAAGCAGCCCACATTGCCCTCATTCTCATAAATTTTGAGAGACTCTGCGAATTCCTAAAGAAGCGAGGGATGATGTGATTGGTTTGTGGGGGCGACGCAGTGGCAGCGCCGCGCACCTCCCGCAGCCAGACAGCTCGTCTCCGGCTAGTGACCTTAACTGCAAAGTTTCATGCGCTAGTCCTAAATTCGCTGCCCGCCCACTCGACCGCGTTCATCTGCGCGGAAATTGAAAAAAGTTGAATAGCATAGCATGACATTGCCCTTTTGTCATTAAATCACCTAAAAAGGATGCGAGTAGGCGGAGTTGATGAGCAAGATTTTCTACGTGTATGCCAGCTATATAAGAAACATCTCGCCATATCGAGAACGTAGCGACGTAATAAATCTCTGCCGCTCACAGCGCTTACGTTCCTCGTCGACTGGATTTGCAGCCGTCGTCGGATTCGATACGAGTCGTACGAGTTCCTTCTTCTGTCATTGGAATCGTTCCTTGTGCAGAGCAGGTGGCGGAAGTGACTCCCACCATTGCCGCCGCCTGCTGCGTCATCGCGCATGGAGCTGCGACGGCGCGCAAAATTCGCTCATAAATCTGTACGTGGTGATTTCTTTGGGCCGATCGTCTACCATTTCCGGCCGACTACGTCAACGTAAGTGTCTACGTAGTGCCGACCAGCGCGGGCGGAGCCGTCACTTTCGAACATTTATGTTGCGAAAACGCCTAGCAATTTGTTCAGGATCTATGAACTAATGTACAGAATTCATTTGCTTTGTTTGTTCAGTCCCTGGCTTTATGCATATTCAACAAAGCCACCTGCATTCCTCTTCCAGTGTGGTTTATGATCTTACGGTGCAAAACCAGCGTAGCAAACAGTATATATGTCATGCACTTCGCTTTCATAACCAGGCTTGACATTTTTTTCTGCCAAGAAAATCTTGTGAATCAAACCAAAAATGAAACATTCAAATAAAAAATCTCTGTTAATGTCTTCTCACTCACTTCCCCTTTTTTGCTCTCTTTCTCCCTTCTCTTTCACGCAAGCAATAAGCTTAAACAAAAACAATCCTAAGAAGGGCTCAGCAGTAATGAGGGGTTTTGAAGCATGTTCCTTTCAGTTCTCAAAGATGACTGTACAAATTATAATAGATGTAGAAATAGGTTTGTACCCTTCTAAGTTTTCTACAATCAAAAATTAACGACTAATCAATAATTGAGGTTTAATTTTTTGGAAAAAAATACGCCTTCTATGCTTAACATTGCGCAGTTTCGTGTCGGACTAGCTTGCAATTTTATCACTCTTGAAATAGACCATCTCTCAATTACATTAAATATTACAGCTTTCACTCAAAGGTTTTCTCAACCTAATAGTTCAATCAATTGTTAGTAAATGGTATCATTGCATTTGCCCTAGCAGCTATCTTGAACAACTAATTATACAGCTTTTGAAGCTGTTGCGACTGAATTTGAATCTTTTGACTGAATTTACATAAAATTAATCTCGAGTAAATAATTTGCATGTTTTAAGGTGTAACCCGAGACTTGAGATTTTTCCCTACGTTTCTTATTCAGTCGTATTTTATAGGTCAGCTTGCTTTCGTTCATAATCGTAAAGGTCAGCGAACTCTCTGAACAATGACAGTTCGCTTGCCCTTTTGCATTCCACATCCATCAACGTTGCAAATTTGCAAGAAAATCAGCTCCTGGACAAGGAAGTTAGTACCTCGAAGATACTTTGACATTTGAAAGAATATATTATACTAATATTACATTTATCCTGCATGGACGGAGTTTTTTTTGCAAAAGAAGAAGAAAATCAAGAGCATTTTGAGCCGTGTAACCCTAGATTAAAGATATGTCAGTTTTCTATATCGACTAATTTCCATTACGCTTGAGGTGTCGATTCTCGTATCCGCTTCATATCTCGTCTGACGATGTTACAAATAACTTGCGACTAACTATGCGATCACTTTTAGAGATGTTCACCTGGTGGCTTCTCTTAATTCCGGGCATCATCGCATTTAACGTTCCATTCATGAACACTGCACAGGTTACTCATTCTGGTAAATTTTTTGTACATAAGGGTTATTAAAAGAGTTTTTTTTTCTGATTTCTTCCAATCTTAGGTCCCTCAACATCTTCAAAATTGGCAGAAAACTCAGACGAATTACATCGATCAAAACGTGGATACTACTTTTCACAGTTCGACCAATACAGTAATAACCTCCTGGTTCAACCTGAACATCCAGATGATCTCATGAAAAAATGGATCACTTATGAGCACAACCGCTACCGAAGAATGGTGATTTCTTGATATTTAAGTGCCGTTTTTCAAATCCTTGAAAACTCGAAATTTCCAGGTTCCTGCTACTGACATGAACATGCTGTACTGGTCAGATGATTTGGCCGCAAGTGCTCAACGGCATGCGAACACTTGCGATTTCAGACATTCTAAAGGGAGAGTGAATGTTGGGGAGAATATCTGGGCTGCCCCGTACAGCAACTACTCTGATGCGGTCACGCTTTGGTTTGATGAGGTCAGTTTTTGAAATTTCTTTGACAGAAATGGAACTTTTTTCTTGTACTAGATCAGAAAAACTGTGAGACTTTTGTATTTCGTTGAGGGGTTATTTGCATTTCGCTTCTGCTGACACATTCTCTACCACCTATACATTATGCCTAGTTTGAGCATCTCTTATAGCACCAAAGTTAAGAGGATAGATCACAAATTATTGATGAGGATTTTCTGAACTTATGACAGTTATCAAAGTCACTCACTCTAGTAGCATATCCATATCTTATAAAAATTCTAGCACAGTTTTTCTCAGCTACCTTCTGATTTTTGTCAAATTTACCCTCCAACTGAAAACAATACGCATATAACCTCGAGTCATTTCTTTAATATGTGAGACTGCACACTAAGCCCTATTAGCGACGGCAAACTTACTGATAACTCCCTTCAAACATTTTCTAGCCTAACAAATTGTATAAATGTGTTCTATTGACGAGCATGTAATCAACAAAAACAAAAGAGAAGAGGAAGCAAGCAGAAATTACTGGAAATGAGCAGGTTCTAGTTTTGCTGTTCGTCAGTTGGCGTGTTTAATGTGCACTATGCATATTAAGTTACGAATGACTCGACGATAGTTTTTATTAGGAGACGCTCAAAGCTCACCATTTTCTACAAATTCGAGACGAATTCCTGGGATGGGAGCGATGCTATATTTACCTCCCCGCAAATGAAACCAAATATCCGGATTGGTTTTACAATTTTTATAGAATAGTTCAAAATCCCACAACTTTCAAACGAAGGGGCGGTCCATATTCACACGATTTTTCTGACAGTAGCTTTTCTTCGACAATTTTTTGGGGTATAAAGTTTCGAAGAAACATCACAGTTCCAACAAATCAATAATATTCATCTTCTACTTACTAAAAATTTATTGATTTTGTATGGAGGGCCATCTATATGTTCTGCTTTATCTACATCGCGGACTAATAGTATTCTGCTGAGACCCAAAAAAGAATTTTTTCAGGTGAACAATCCCCGTTGCGGTTGTAATCACGCCTACAAACACTGTTGTGGTCATTATGTTCAGGTGAGCAGAACGCGTTCTCATCCCTTATGATCCTTGCAAAAATGTTGCAACAAAGCCACCTGAAGCCACTAGGCGATTGTTTTCCTATCGCTAATCCTATCATATCCTGGCCTTGCGCGATTGATTGTCCTAACTTCCGGTACGATCGCCTATGCGTTTTTTGCGTGGTGGAGTGATTGCGCGAAAAGTCGGGCCTAGTCCGATAAACTGCCCTTTACAATCTCGTATCCTTCGTTGGTCATTGTAAAAGGAGTTGATAACTTAGAATTTCGATGAAATGTTTTCTTTGACCATGTTTTGGCCAGAATTTGGCGCCTGAACTGACCTCGACGAAAAAAAGAAGCGAAAACCCACTGAGAAGTGCAAAAACATGCAGCATAGAGCGTTCAAACCGTAGCGGAAATGAAAATCACATCGATTATCGCAATGATTGATTGCGAGAAACACTTTGCACTGTCCACGCATGAATGTGCGTTCCTCGAAAAGAAATTATCCTTTCCCTCCCCCTTCCCCGCATAAAAACTTACATGCCTAGCCTTGTCACTTTTTTAGGTTGTATGGGCTAAGACAAACTTGGTCGGTTGCGGTTTTGCCAGATGTCGCGACGTGCAAGGACTCTTGGGTCGAGGACATCGCAATGTTTTCGTCTGTCACTATAACCCGCAAGGGAACACGGTATTCGTCACTGGATCCGGACAGCTTTATGCGGTTGGTAAAGGTTGTTTGATTTGTGTGACGCGATGTTTACGACGTGGACGGCAATTTATACGTCGTGGACTTTGCGTCGCACTTGGAGGCAGTGTCCTGGCAAATTTTGGTGCTATGGTTAGTTATGTGGAAACTGATTGGAGAGCCTTAGCTAAGCCATTGCCCAAACGGCTGCTCACATGATCCATTCGCGGCCGAAATGTTCGAGCTTAAACACCAGCCCAGATCGTACTCTCGGGGGCGCTGAGATACGGTGTAGGCTGGAACTTGGAGCTAGATTTCTCGGGCGAGATTGAACCAGATGAGCTGCTGCTTGGGCGATAGCTTAGCTGATATATCCCAAGCGCTGTCCGCATGAGAATTCCAGGTTCCAAACTTGTTTTGACATTGCGACTTTCTTGACCCTAGTGCTTGTCTGCTTCTCGCTTTACACAAGAATCGTTGCTGTATAACTAACGAAGGCTAACATTTTTCGGCGAATTGTTGGAAACTTGCCAAGCGGTGTTACACTACCCAAGACAATGTAGTCGTCAAACTTATAGCAAATATTGCAGGTACCAGCCTTCACCTGGGCTACTGGCGACAAAGGCCGCTGTTCGGATTGTCCCCCTTCTGCCCCAGCCTGCTTCGAAGGACTCTGCTATATGCCCAGCGAAGTACGCGATACAGAAGAGTCGACGACACAATCGGAAAATTTGGACTACAGTGAAACAAATGTGACGGAAGCGAGTTTCTGAGCTCTCAGCCTCCTACAGTAATCACTGCCCTCGACCGTTCCTGTGATACTCACGTCTCGCTCCTTTTGAGGAAGGAGGCTCGGGTTTAGCTAGCGCCCCCTACAACTGCCTCCCCTTAGGGTTATTTAGACTAGTTTGACCTTGCAATCTATTGAGAACCCAAGTCATGTTCATGCGGGTTTGTCGACGAAACGTCGATGATGAAAAGTGTTTGTACATGCATAATAATTCTATGTGAAAAATCGTTCTTTTCGTTTTCCGCTTACAAAGTAACTTACCACTGACAATGCGATGAAGTTACAGCCTTGATTGATTATAATGTTGACTTACAAATAGAAAAAAGGTTCAGACACGTAAGTGTTCACTCATCAGGTTGCTGAAGTGTGATTTAAAGTTCCTGGACTTGTCACTAAAGCTTTTGAGTTCTAGGAGGGCTCAAATATGTGAACAGAACTTGGAATGCTGAAATCTTTTTTCCTATATCAAGTCGAAACAGTTTCTTTCTGACATCCTTAGATGATCATTCAATTAGATGGGACAATCAGAGATCGTTTTCACAATAAACCTGCTAATGGTGTTTAGCGCACTGTACTCTGGTGTTCAGAAACAAATTGAAAACAGAGTGATGTGCTTTCTGGCAAAACGAAGCTGTGATCAAGGCAGTACAAACTGAAATGGCCTAGTATGAGAGCCTCTCGTGGATTTCCGAAAAAAAAACTCCGTTGCAGCAGCAGGTTTCTGCTAATCTATCATAAGCATATACTTTGAAAGAAGAGGACACTGAAAAGTTTAGAAAGAAGAGGAAACGGAAAAGCAAAAAAAATGTCTTGCTTTAATTTCAACAATCTTCATTCTGAACCCAAAAAACTTGTTTTTTGAATATATTTTCCCATTGCAAATGTTTCTACGTAGGCATTTATAGAAATAGCTTTTGTGAATTTTTGGCCACTGGCATATTTCGAAAATAGTTTTTTCCACTACTGAATAAACAAATTACTGGATTATTCGACAAAGCTTGAAAGTTGCATCTCCTTGGTTAGTGCCAACCTTTTTCTCCGGTTTTATGAGGTTTTTGTATTCATGAAGTAGAGGGTGCTTGACGAAAGATTGGCCTATGGCAATGGCGGTCGCACGGTTTCAGTTCTGGAAGAGGGACACAATAACTTTAAGATACGTGGCGTTAACTAGGCATTCCAAAAAATTTGGGATGCTTACCAAGATTTTTACTGGCCGATGGCCCCGACTCTAAGAAAGAAGATTTGTGGCGGCAGCCATGCCCCCGAAGAATTTACAAGGCTAACTTGAATCTTCAAAATTTTTGAAGCCCACTCTAATTTTACATTCAAAATCATTCCGCATTTAGTTCGTGTTATCCGGCTCATCTTAGAGTGTATCACATCAATAAATAGATATTTCACAAGTACAAACAAGTCATTTGCACATTTTCTTATGATTTGGGTAACTAACTCTCAGGGATATCGCGACCCATTCTTTGGGGTGAAGGGGGAGGGGTGGAGTGGGGGGGGGGAACAATTCGGAAATGCATAGATGTTTTTGCTATCTCAAAGAACGATGTGCGTTCCAGGTCTTTGATTGCATGGTCCTACCCCATAAAAGGCAGTTTATACCATAATAAGAGGTTGATAAACGAGTTACACATACAAAAAAATAATATGCTTTACGTAGAGTACTCTTAGACTCCTATCTGACTAAGCTGAATCTTATCTATGAAGCTTATGTCTGTTTGTGTGGCTGTCTGTCTGCGTGTACTTATGTTCCGAATACAAATTTTTATTTTTGAGCCGATCCGGACCAAACTTGGCACATACACTTCGGGGCGGGGTGGATGTCATAGGGTAGCTTCGTTATCACTAGATAACGATTCCATAGATTTTTTGTAAAGTTTAACTACGGGGCTGGGAGTTGGCATAGGTAGGTAAGTGAGCATGTTTACGGAAGTATTAATCTCATCGATTAGAGTTTGCAAGGCTGAGTTTTTATGGTTGAAACTTCGAAGGTACAGTAGTCAACTGCATATGTTGGAGGCTTGGGGCTGCAAACCAGGAGCTCACCATTTTCTTCTCTTGATTTTCAATTATGAAATATTATAGCTAGCCACCGGTGGCGTCCCCTTCTCCCGAGAATGAATCGCGGAATTTTTGAAAGTTACACAAAGTTACAAAAATGTGCAAGTGGCTTATTTATACATGCGATCAATTAAAATAATTTTTGAAATTTTTTTGAAAGTCTTTAGTTTCTAGGCATAAATCACCAGTTATTGAGTGCTCTGTACTTCGCAGCGTTTTAATTTTTGTCCTTAGTTCTTTAGGGTGCAGCTGATTGCGGTAAGATGCAGTATCGTCGGAAAGGTTGATCATGCTCTTCAAATCATACTAATGATTTTGATGGAAAGCTGATGTACAATGATTTTTTTAGCCTCTAAAGATGCAACTAGAAATCAAAAAGAAGTAAAATATTTTTACCACCTGATAAATCAAGGTATAGAAGCAGTTCAGCAACTATGAAAAATATGGCGACTATGAAAAATGGCGTATGTCGTCAATCCAAGACAAAAAAGGGACTAACAAGTAAGAGTTCCCAAGTCAGCTCGGCCAACTCGAATGAGTCATATGTTAGCGTAACGGGCTTGGAACGCTGATTCCAAATCTGCTTTCCTTTTCTGCGGAGCAACTCTCCGAAAGAAGTTATGAGCGTTTGAAAGTCCAAATTTGCCGAGCCTTAAGTGGCGTACAGTTGGCGAAAGCTGTACAATAAGAGTGTAAAAGTGGGTTATCAGTGTTGTAACAATTATACTGACTACAAGGACGGAACACAGCCAGTGGAAGTCCGCTAAGTATTGTTTTAGAGCTTTTAGCTAATTTTATGCCACTTAAGACTCTGCTTTGGACTTTCAAATGCTCATAACTTCTTTCGGAGAGTTGCTCCGCAGAAAAGGATAGCAGATTTGGAATCAGCGTTTCAAGTCCGTTACGGTGATATATGAGTCCTACGTTTGGCCGAGCTGACTTGAGAACTCTTCCTTGTAAGATGCTTCAGGAGATGAAGGATTGATTGGGGTGTCTCTGAACAAAACTTTTCGGAGGGGGAAGGGGCGTCCCGTGCACTGAAAATTGCTGGACAAGAAAAAGACGGTCGACCATAACGTATGCAGTCAGCTGCACTGTATAAACTAGGCGTATGCAGAAAAAGCCTAACAGGCAGATCAGTGACAAAACATGACCAAGTGCAAACGTCAAAACTATCCTGTTAGGTTTCACTAGAAGGTTTTAGGTGCTCAACGTACTTCCCAAATCTCGCTTTATCAGATTATCATTTACCAGTGCGTCACCTCTGCTTCGCAGAGGCTCGTATGGCTCTTCTATATATATGGTATACTCATTCCCGCATAAGAGTGCATTGAAACATACCGCACTAAGCCCGCCTTCAAGAATGACTCGTAAACAATTATTCATTCCTTGAGCGTTTTCGTGTGAGATCGGTATTTTGCATGGATGAAACTTTGGAAGATGAAGAACAAATGCAGAATAAGAACACTTCTATTTCATGGCTTGATAGTCGCCTTAAGGATAATATCCATGGCGAGTTACATCCCTGTGCAAAAATCTTCTCAAATGCTCGTGTGTGTTGTGCAAAAAATTGCGGCTTGAAACCTTGTCTGCGACTCGTTCTGTGAATTTCGTTACAGACAGACAGACAGACAGACAGACAGACAGACAAAAACACGTAAACACCCCTAGCCCGTTATTATAAGTCATGATTTCTTGAAAACCCTATAGCGCATGTCTCATTTCAAAAAGTAGATTGAGCGCTGGTTGAGTGACTTTCAGGACCCGGCGCACTGCCGTTTAAGAGAAATGAGATTGAAAAGCTGACAGGGATGTGGCAAAAGTGCTTGCAGTAATCGAGAAACACACTGTTGACTGCTTTTCAAAAAATTTTGGTGACTATGTTGGCTTATAGAAACGCTACGAACTTATGGAACGACCTAATATGTAACGTTCAACAAGATCTTGTAGACCTTGCACCGTTCTACCGTATGCCACCCCTCTGACGTCTTTCTGGGTTCGTCTTTTGAATCGCCATAAAAAGACATCGTTTTAGTTCCGACTAGCGGTTTCCTAAACCCTTTATGTTTCTGATCTTTGATCGGACAGAGTAATGGAGCAATATTGACACAGAAATCTTCACATGCAGAATTTCCTGCATTGCGCTTTCTGACCGCAAGTGTTTTATTGTCTGCGACTCCTTTCAAACGACCGACTATAAATTAGCGCGGGCGTTTCAGCTGAACTATATGACTTCCGATTTATGTTATCTGCAAAAAATAGAGAGCAAAGTTGAATCAATGATGAGCAAATAGCTGGAAACAAATTCATTCTGTTTCTTACTAGGACGAAACTCTGTACATTAAAAGAAGACTATACAGCAAGCATGAACACCCAGACACCCAGACTTCCATATGTAAGAGAATGCAATAAATTTGAAGCCCATTTTTGCAGTAATAAGATAACCGTGCAAGCTCTAGTTTCCAAGAAAATTTCAAATTCAGCATGAGAAACCTGGAAAGACTATCTCAATCCCGGAAGAGTACCTTAGTCCCGATTGACTTGTTTTTGAAGTTTCCTAACATTTGATAACAAAACGCGTGTGTCTGTATGTGATTCCGATGTGCTAATTCCCACATACTCACTGAGTTAAGATATTGTATACGAGAGTTAGTGATAGCGTAGGATAATCTTAGGCGAGTCCGAGAGTTTTCTATGATTGCACGTTCATAGATTTTTGTCCCAAGTTTTACGAGGAATCAGGTAAATGTCATCTTATTGAGCCTGTTATGCTTCATCGATATTGGTCCTCTCGCTTCATTTGGTGTTTATATTGCCACCCTTGTTTGAGAAACGACATCATTCTCTCTCCTACAGGCAAAGTCAATAGCATTCATTTCGAATAC